CTTAATGCCCACTGGACTAATTCTACTGCCCGTTAGTGCGGCTGGCAAAAAGCATTCATCTGTGCTAGCGCACAGTGGAATTGGTCCAATGTACGTTGTGTCACCAGCCAGCATTCATCTGCGCTAATGCGCAATAACACTGATTATGGCTCATTAAGTTAATAACAACAGGTACTAACTTAATGCACTGTAATGGTGCATTAATGAACGTGTAGACATACCCATGAAAGATCAATGCCTGCCTTTTCTCCTATACTCTTCACTTGCAAACATTTCCATTAGAGGAAGACAGAGAACAAAAGCAGCATATCTTGAAGGTAGGAATATAAAAGCCCTTCCCTGTCATCAATCCAGCAGTCTTAAGGTGTCAAAATGCAAATTGTACTTTTACTCTCTTGATCCCCACCCTAAACATTTATCCTGCAAGTTTCAATACCCTTACAGATGGATCCAGATTGCTGCAACTGGGATCTATTTACTCTGCTTTTAATTTCATAAAAAGCAATTCCTTGTTTATCTTCACATTGCACAAATACAGGAAAAAAATATTATTTTTGTATCAGTAGCTATGAACTACACCTATAAGCCTATTTAGAAACCCATTTATTTTTTACTGCTGCCACAGCCTCCCCAAGTGCATTGTCAGATATTTTTCATCCCCTATTAAGCCTATTTTAAGGTTCAGGGAAGTGATACCACAGCCTCACAGCTGGCAATTTGGTACCGGTGTTTCGTAAAGCTGACCTTAATTCAAAAGCTGACCAAACACCCAAATCAAAATGGTTTCAAATGCCCTTTTGGGGTATTATTAGAAGACTAAGTACATTTAGGAAAAAAGGACCAATCATATCAGGGAAAAATAATTGAGATCCATGATAGTTTTAATGGGTCAAAACAATGTCAAGCTGATAAATGTGATTCACAACAGGTTAAATGCTGCTTGCTATTTTCTAAGAACTGGAATCCAAATAATAAACCCATATTGCAAAATTAACACATGAAGTCTAGCATACTGTGAGCTATGTAAATCCTTTGCATGTCTGTAGCATCATCCCAAAATCCCCTCATCTTAAATTTCTGTGTCAAGAGGTATTATCAGTACGATAAGAATATTAAAATAAATGAGTCAAAAATCAGTTAGCTAAGATTAAAGCAAGTCAGTGGCTGAAATAGGAATATTAGGTAGAACTTCTAGCCCCATTTTCCTGCAACCCAAGGCTCTTGGGACATTTCATGGCCTTTGTAAAGTAATGCGTGTTCTTGAATGAAACAAACTGTTTTAAGAGCAAGTTGTTCCAAGTATCGCTGGTAATGGCCTGGCCTCCAGGATGGGAGGGCCAGAAGGTATCACTTCAGCAGGAGGGAAATTTTTGTCATGAACATCAGGGCAAGCCATCTGGTACAGAACATGTGCACTGTGCTTGACACTTATTTGGTCTACCCAACCAAAAACAAATAAACCCAACCCAAATTGCTCCTGCTACAGCTTGTACCTGTGGTTCTAAGGACTCTTAAGCAGTCTATGGCATGTATTCAAGTATCCAACAAGGATAAACTAACAGCTCTCAAAAACAGCAATAATTCTATTTGGTGCTTTTTTCTGTTGGGGTTTTTTGTTTTTTGCTTAAAACACAGACCAAAAAACCTCACACATTTCAGTTGATGCCCTAGAACCAGCCATGCAATGGCTATGGATGCGTCAGAGATCAAGTTACATTCCTCCATTCTCTCTGCTTGTCTTGCAGTAGATTACAGCGTGTACAAACAAAACAGCTTAGTTATTTGTGTTATAGCTTCAAATGATATGTGCAACCCCGGGTCAGGGCTCTAGTGCTAGATTATGTACAAATGTTTTTGTCCTAGAGCCTTGGTTCAGTTTTCTTTGTGGTTAAGCTGAACTGAAAGATGGAAAAGTGAAAATACTCCTTGACATCTGCAGGCAGCTCTACAGACCAAATAGACTTTGGTGAGCTGGCAACTGACAACTGAAACAAATAGCCACTTTCAAGCAACTAGCATTTGCCTAGTACCCCCTATTGGAGTAAACCTAACAGCTGTCCATACCCTTGATCCCTCACCAGTCTAAGTAGCATTTTTTTAGCGTCACATTGGATGATACTGGAATAACAAGTATTGCACCAAAAGTTTGTCAAACAGTTCTTTTAGAGGACTTGTGAAGACTGAATTTTCCAAATGGTTCAAATACTGTCAGAACTCAAAAGAAATGGTTAGACTTTGAGTTGGAAGAGACATGCTATATTAGAATGAACCAGACCACGGTTAGTTACGACAAAGTCTCTGACCTGTATGACAGCTATGGAGCATTTCGTTTTATCCTTTGCTGCTCCTGCCATTTTCCAACGATTCCACAATCTTTTATTGATCAACCTAAACATTTGGATACCAGGCTAAATAAAAAGTTATTCTCTGTTAGCAAATATACACAAAGAAGTTCAAGGGGCCAGTGGTGCCAAATGGATGTCTTAACTATGGTACAATCATTTCCTACCATTTAATACAATAAATGCTCCCATGATCCACTGAAGCAAACCACATGCATAAGGGCCAATAGATAGGTCTCCTATTGCTCAGTAAGCACTTAAGCAGAGGGTGGTTTTGGAACTGAGCTGGAACACGCCTTCTGTGCACTTAGTCATCATCAGGCTAAAGACATCAGTTACACCAGCCCACGGGAAGTGACTATTCCTAGCTAATCATACCTTATGATGAAAGACTCCAATTATAACAACAGCCCAACATAGCTAAAAACATCTTACGCCAGTAATAAAATATTGCAAAATATTAAGCCTTATGCCCCTAGAAATATTCAGTAATACTGTGTGACAACTCAGAAACTTCCTCCTTTTCAGACTACCAGTAGCCTTTTCCCTAAGGAAAAAAGCTTCCCCTGCCATATCACTTCATCTGGCCTTGGCACTCTGAGGCTGGAGACAGAGGAAGAGTAGAAAATGTTCCTCTGTAACAGCTACAGAGACTAAATGGGAAGTTGAAAACCCTATTCAACAACTGCTTAAAAAGAGGAAGAGGGCCCCTCATTTGTGTATTTGGCATGACTAGTAGATGAACACAGCAGCCCCCTCCCCAAAGAAGTGAGGACTTGAGATCATTGAAGTCAATGGGAGTTTTGCTACAGACCCTCTCTATACATGCAAAGTTCCAGCAGTCTGACAAGTAATACAGCTAAACCCAAAAGGGGGAATAAAAACTATTTTATATTTGCTTAAACAGTCTCTCAATGGTAAAATGATCCGATATAAACTAGGTTGAACTGCATGAAGTATTTCAGCTCAGGGTTTTGCACCATTCCTCTAAACCAATTTTAAATCATGCCTTTCCTTTAAAATGATGTAAGTTGGTAACTTATGCCATATCATAGACTCAAAGGGTGGGAGCAGGTTGTAGAAGAGCAGGTTTAGTCCACTACTATTTTCTTCCTCTTCTATGCTTAAGGACAGAACCTCTGTGAAAACCCTCCTGGTTCTCTAGAAGAAAGTCCAGATATAGCAATACAGGAGTTAGTGAAGCCAAAAGCTACTTCTGCTTCTGGAAAACAAACTAGTAGCCAGAAAAAAAAAAAATTATGAAACATGGGAATTGGAGAAAGTGGAAAATAAAAAGCAACCTGACAAAAGTAAAGTTTATTCTATGCATAAACTTTTTATTAATAAAATATAAAGAGATTTACAGCATATGTCAATGCACAGCAAGTTTAATGAATTATCTAGCTGGAAAACATGATGCTTTGGTTGGCTGTAGTGGACAAGGCTTAGACCTCAACTTGGCATGCCAGAGTAAAACCAAAAAGGCAATGATGTCAACTACTGACCAATCAAAATTCAGATTCTGTCACAGACACATTAACCTTTAATAACACACATGAATGAAGTATCACTAGAAAACTATGCTTTAAGTGCCACGTGACGTTACCTTTTTGGCATCTATATCTTCATTCCATCCTGATTTCTGTGCGTGTCCAGAATAATTAAAGTGTTCAGGTTTTCAGTATGCCATCCATGATAAACCCGCAAGTTAAAACACGCAAGTAAAACAGGACTCAGCAGTCTGGATACTAACCCTTGGTAAAGCACTTTGCTTCAAAAACAGAAATGGATTAACCATCTTTGCAAAATAAACGTGAAGTTTACTAACCCTCCCTCTCATGCACAGATACATTCTCTCTCTCTCTCTCTAGCAATTAGGAAAATGAACCACCCTTGGTCCTGATCTTGTAGCCACGTGTGTAGGCTATTAAGCCTACTCACTCCTAGATCCAAATACTTCAAGGAAACTATGCTTCGAGTAAAACTAAGCATGTCTGTAAGTGCATGTAGGAGTGGGCCCAATTTACTTGCTCAACAGACAGTTACTGTTCCCAGGTGAGTTAAGAGTTTTGTGAGGCTAACAGATGAAAACTAATAAAGATTATGCTCATACTCACACAAAGGTCAAAGGCTCGCAGGTTGCGTATCCACATGAAGCAAGTTGTAATGTACTGAATACTTTTATATTTTTCAAAGCACTGTACACACATTACATGGTCTAAATGAAATTGAAGTATACTGCAATAGCGATCCTGTTAACTATTTGCAACCATACCCACGTTTTATAGCAGAAACTGTATCTTAGCTGATGGGGCAAGAAAAGTTTAAACAAAGTAATACCTATAACCAAACCACAAAAATGGATATCAATTAGTTGGTTAAGAAGTGTAGTTCCTCCCAGTCAAGACATATGTAAACTTACCATGGACTCAAGGCCCACATTTTCTTATTTGCTAAATGAAGAGTACAATTTACTGGACCATCTAGTAAACAGAGGAGCATAACAAACACATCAGAGGTAACAACTCACAAGCCTTCCAGGGTTGATATTCAGTTCTCCCACATTTGGATAATTCCTAAGAGTCAAATATTTATTACTTGTCTGTAAACAATTTAATTTCACGCAGATTCTGTATTCCAAGTATTGTCTGATCAGTGTACCTTTTAACAGTTACTTTAATTGCAACATCTTTGATAAGTCAGAGGAAAGAGTAACACTCATGATAGACTACATTTCCATTCAGATACCAATAGCAATAAAATACAAAAAATATAGTGTATTCAGAATGCAGTACAAATTATTACTTGTGTAATAACTTGATCTTTTGTACCACATCATACTGCTGAACAAAAAATTAAATCCAAGAGGAGCCACTGAGTAACTCTGTATTCTAACACAAGGCATTACATGAAATCAGGATGAAATAAAACAAAAAAGTAGTCACATAAAGATGATTTCTAGTCCAAACTTGCATCCCTACTCAGACATAAGGGACAGTTCAACAGACAGAGAGGCTTTAAGGGAGACTGAACAGGTCAAATACTATTTGTGATTATGGCAAAATTTGGCAGCATGAAGTTGTTGGGGTTTTTTTTTGTTTTAATACAAGTGGTAAACAAACAAAAGTTAAAATTATAATTTTCATACATGAATTAATTCCAACAATTGTGAATAACCACCTTCTCTCCCCCCCACCCCCCGGAAAAATAATTCATACTGGTTAAAATCATTACCAAAAAAAACCAAAAAAAACACATCATTTTATTTTCATGCATCTAAGGTAAAACACAGAATATCTGTATAAAGAGGTAGATTTAAAAAAGAAAAACAGATTCTCCATTCTTTGTCACTTTTATTCAGTAGTTTTGTTTCCTTATTTTTTTGTTTTTGGTGCCAGACACGGCAAGGAGTGATTACAGTCAACTGTTTATTAAAACATTTGTTCTCAACACAGACCCCCTTTACCACTGACCCCAAACTGACCCATTTCATGTGCTTTGTTTTGTTTTTTCCTATACACCACCACCAGGGCTGGGTGGAGGGGGATAAAAGGGAAAAAAGGGGAGTCCAGGAGGTCAGAAGGAGGAATGCTACAAGCCACAGCAAGAATGAGCTGTATTTAATAAAAAAAGGGCCACAAATGATACAGTAATGAGGTTACACAATTAAATCCCATAGCATGACTGAAGGCTTTCCCTGTGTTTGACTTCATCACAATGGAAGGCATAAAAAGTGGAGTAAACCAATGTTGACACAGTCCAATCTAGTCCATTAGGCAAGATGGTGCAAGTAGTCATTAAATTACAAAGTGCCCTACCCTCACCTAAATGGCTAGCAGACATGGAGAAAAACAGTGATGGATCAACAGAGCTTCCTCCATGTAGCTATCAAAATGAGTTGTCATATGGCACATTTTTAAACACTGGAAAGGGGTGCCACAATGGACCTCTCTCATTCTTTCGTTTACAGGTACAAATGCTAGATTCAACTATCTCAACTATGCAGGAAGTGGACTCTTCTGTTAGGAATGCCAACCCTAATTCATCTTGTCCTGAAATATATACAAGTTGTTTGTAGTAGCTACAGCAATGATATTTTCCTTGGGATGCCAGGCTGTATGGAGTATCTTCTTGTTGAAGTCTAGGCTGTCAACACTAATTTCATCCTTCTTCCGTTTGCCACTTGCACAGACTTTGCGCGGCTTCAAAACCGTGCGGGGTTTATTGTTTTCCCGTGACGCTTCTAAGGTGATGTCTCGCTTTGTGTTTCTGTCAAACATTCTGAAGAAGTTGTTGTAAGATCCTGTCATGACAACGCTATCAATAAGGGAGGAAAAATAACAATTAAGAAAGGAACAATGGCAAGGGGGAAGGACTGTATTACAATATCACCCAGAAGGCCCAGCTGGGATTGGGTTTCCACATGCAAAGAGAAAAAGCATATCTAGCTCTAACAGCTTACACTCCAAATAGAGAAGGCAAGTGGCTACCACGTGATCCACCAGGGAGAATTTGACAAAGTTGGGAACTTAACAGCTTATCTCCCCAACTCCCGGTCCAACACCTTAACCACAAGAACACAAAATACTGCCTTCCCATCCCATGTTCTGGCCATTTTGCCACTTTTGGGCTTCCAGCAGTAAGGAAACAAGCACTGATCATTGTGGGCCTGCTCCTGTAAGAGTCATCATCTTACAAGACTAAGGCCTTAGCCTCAAATAGAATTCCACTTGCCCGAACACCTCTCCCCCCAAAAAAAGCTATAGGTAGAGTGCAAATTAGAACCCACAACCAATCATTAATTTAATTTGTTGTTCTTGCCGTGTAATTCTGTCACTGACTTCTGAAGTAACTATACCATTTAGAAGAATACAAAACTCTAGTTGTACCAAAATGTTTCCTAACCAATTAGCATTCCATATTCCTAGCCCTACACAAATCACCATGTCAGAAAAACATTAGCTAATTTCTAAAAATGTAATCAGCATTTAAATTCAATACTGCCTTACTGCTCAAAGCATTTAAATGCAATACTACCTTAGTGCTCCATCAAAAGATGACTTGTTTCATACTTTGGGACCCAAACACTGAGTGGCTGTGGGCCAGTTCTATGAGGTGCTCCACACATCACAAAAAACTTGGCCCCTGAGGCAACCCAAAACCAGGTGGCTAGGATTGCCCAAGTTTAGAAACTAACTTCTCCCCATTTTCCAACATAACCTCTTAGGGGAGAGCCATCTGAAGGCCTTCTCACACTGAAACACCTGAGATTTTTAACAAGGCAAACAAATGTAAAAGATACCCAGGATATTTGGTAATGAGATACTCTGTTAATGGCATCACACATATGGGACACAGTGAGCTGGCTCCCATTTTACAAAAGAGCAGTTAAAGCACAAATAGTACTCAAATAACTGCTACATTCTCAGTGGTATAACTGGGTGGTTAGCCAGCCTTAAGAAGGTAAGCTTGAAAATTCATGAAGAAGTAGAATTCCTAGAGGGCTCTGTTTACTTTCCTCTTTTGACAAGGACAGATTTTAAATTAAAAAAACCGAGCATAGCTCCCAAAATACACTCTGTGTCCTGTAGAACAAAATATGGCCCCCCACTGTGAAAAACATTCAAGAAGTCCATCCAGCAATTGGTCTGCATAAGCAAACTTTCACTCCCATAGAGATCAGATTGCAAGACTGGGGCCTATATGAAGACACGGTATGAACACAAAAGACAAAAACAGAAAGGAAAGCTCATTATTAGGAACGAGCATACATAACTTTAGCTTTTAAAACTGCAAAACAGAAGCGTCTGTATTTGGACTGCCTCATGTCAGAAGGGAAATGCAGCCCTACTTACCCTCAAAGCTACAAAAGTTTCAATATGTACTTTTTTTTAAAAAAAAGGAAGTTACACTTGCCTATCTGATCCATTCCAACAGCACTCAAATTTGTCAAAAATGCAGTCATTCTCATACAGCGAACAAAGTTTACTTCTGAGGTATTCATGCACCTGGAGGAAAAACAACAAGCACACCAACACAAAAGCATCAATCAGATGTATTCAATATCTATTTTCAAGAACATGATTTTTTTCTATCAAATGTTACTAAGTAATCTTAAGGAGTTATGAACTTAGGTCTCTCACTTGGCATTGTGAAGCTACCTCACGAGTGAGATGTCAAAGAACCTTCTGAGTTCCATGTTCAGGAGGAAGCGCATTTTACATGCCCAAGAGCTCTAGTTTTTTGTATATCTTTTTACATGCCCAAACATCAGTCCTGACCCTGCAGTCATACTGCAAGGGGAAAAAAAACTGTGCAACTCTATATAAAATGTGGGGGTGTCGGTATGCCAAGTTCCAATTGCTGCATAGTGGCCACATGCAACACATTAGATTATTTCAGAATTCGCAATACCATTGTATGAAACAGAATACCTGGTATGTTTCCACAGGTCTGTTTTCCATATTTAAATCCCAGATCTTAACTGATAGATAATCTCTAGTCATCATATATCGACCGCTGTGGCTGAATTTGACATCAGATATGGAAGAGATGATTTCAGAGAAAAAAGATCTGTTGCTAGGGTCTTCTGGTTCTTCAAACACTGGTAGGAAGAAACAGGCATGATAAGTGGCACAATACATCTTCTCTAAAAAAATGTTATGCGCTATGCAGTGTGGAACAAAAACTAACTGGTACATGCATATTGGAAACATCTCAAATGGTTTTGGGTCAGTATTTTACATGAATTGACTGATAAGTAATCTCCCATTTCCCAGTAAAGCATACCCCGAGTTTCAGATGGCCTGCTTGGTAACACAGGAGGTGCTGCTAAATGGCCAGATGAACAGAACTGATCACCATAAAGTATGCTGCCAAAGACATCTTAAATGTGTATAACAGCTATGTACAGCATTTACTACTTTTATTTGTGGTAAATAAAAGTGTGATATCAAGTATCAGCAAGTAATTATGTGATACCAACAATGCTTGATACATTAAGACATTAGATGTAAGATTGCTGGACTATGGAAATCCATTTCTTAACAAGTATAGGATGGATGTCCCTTCCAATCCAGGGTATACCCAACAAAAGTGATTAGATGCTTATAATGCAGTGGCTGTAACAAGCAAAATAGCTTGCTACCATCATGTGCAATCTCTCACAACAGTAAAGTTCTGCAAATGTACTGGCTATCCTGAAGCAAAAATTTATTGGAACAGAGGCACTTCCAGCTCAGTCCCGAATAACATATGCAGGATGGGGCTGAAATTCGCATGCAAAGTCTCTAGCATCAATTACAGACTGGAGTTGGGACTAGCTAGTTCTAAACCTCTCAGCCAGCCAGCCAGCCCCCATGACATTTATGTTACTTTAATATATTTGTTTTCGCTCAATTAGAAAGGTAACCCTCCAACACCTATTAAGGTTTTTAATGAACTTGAGAAAATTCATTTAACAGGCAATTTATTAATAGAGCTTTAGTTTACTGTAATTGATGCTTAGCTTGCTTTAGTAGCGAGATGCTAAACACTTAAAAAGGAAAGGAAAAGAAATCAGCAACCATGGCAAGCAAAACTCACATTTTGAATGTCTGTCACAGAGTGCCGATGCTCTCATGTCACATAGACGGATAGTTCCTTTACTGCTGCTGTATACAAACGTGTTACAGCTATTTGGGTGGAACTCAGCAGCTGTTATGACCTCTGTCAGCTCTTCCATATTGGCAGGCTTTATATCTACAATATCTAGAAAGCATTCATTAAGGTATGTTCTCTTCAACTGTTTAGAATACAATTTTCATCTATACATGTATTTACTAAGTAATCAAGAGAAGGGGAGTGACTGAAACCTGGGAACAGGAACCTGGGTTCTGTCCCCAAGCTGAGCCAGAGACACCTTATGTGACTTTGAACAGTGCACAATCTCCATGTCTATTTAAAGTATTCAAGAGTGTTATTCTAATCGTCTGTAAAACTAGTCTACACACACAGAGCAACATGAACAGTCCCTTTAAAATTACTCCTCTATTAGCTAGGGAACAGTAGCAAACAAACATGCTTTTAATACATAAGCTAAATGCCGAGTCAAATTTCAGCAATCTAAACAAATCGTTTGAAGTACATCTATTGTTTCATTTTTACTCTACAGAATATTATGTTGCCTTCTATCACTTTTACACACACCAGCTTGTGGGAAAGCTAGTGCTTTCCCACAAGAATCTGAGGTTCAGCAATTTCCTGCTCCTTTCCCACCCTAGGACCTCTGTGACCTGAACTCTTGACCCGTCCCTGCTCCCTATTGAAGGGGGATGAATATACTTCATTAATGCAGTTAAGTAATTATGCAAACTGTGCACTTATCTGAAATCCATTTAAAGTAGTATCCTATAATCAATCTGAATCCAGTACTCCTCATGTTGCCCCAATATGATCTTGTTATCAAAATTCCTACAGCAGTAATCTTTATAAATATTAGTGAGAATTACATAAGAAAGAGAAAAGTGTTAAATACATAAACACTTCAAGAGAAAAGAAGAAAATTAACAGCCTCTGCTCGAACCAAAAGGGATAAATCAAACAAAAAATGGTGAAAAAGATACTAAAACTTCTGTCTGTTATTTCTAGGTGCCAGAGATTAATCCGCAAGTCATCTGCAGATAGGTATGTTTCATAATCACTATTAATGGAGATGGAGTTGATGTGATACGTGTGAGCATTGGCAAATATCCTTCGTGGACTGGCTTCGACCATAAGATCCATGGGCCTGAATACTGGCACCTGTAATATATGAAAGGAGGCAAAAATCCAAGCTCTGCATACAATAGAGATAAATGTGTATAGACACAACTGTTCTTACAGTGTACCATGAAACTACACAAAGCTAACCAACAAGGGTGATGATTCCTGGAGGGGCTTCAAGGTCCCCTGCATGACAGGCATACTGCACAATACACAGGGTATCACAGAAAAATGTTCACGTTATTTGTCTAGTGATGGCTGGGACAGGGATCCAGATATTTTGAGTTCTGTTCCCTGCTGTGCTGTGAAAAGTGAGCTCCTACTGGTGATATAGTATCTCTCTCCATTATAATTTTTCTGTGACAATTCATTCTGGAGCATAGTAATTGTTTGCT